AATACAACATGAAAGCCTAGAAATTTTGTTCCATTCTTTGAACTTAAGTGGCTACGCAAATATCTAGTGCCCATGGCCAATGCCTCTCTGCTGGAAAGCTTTTGACATGTGAGGTATGACTTGTTTGTATCACAGCAGCTGTCAGCTTTCTGTTGCAAATATATAAATACACAGTGTGCAGATATATTTACATGAAAAAAAAATTAATATTTGGATGTGGTTTCCAGGTTATTGCAGCTTTGTTCAATGAGTAATTCCATGAAACTGAGTTTGATGATGAAATGTTTGTTGCTAATCATGTTCGTATGTTGACCCAAAAAATACATTTTTATCTTCACCCAAAAATATACTGTTTAATTTCATTTGTGTCTTGAGAGTTTTATTTTCTCTCCAAGTAAAGTGAAGTACCTCCATATCATAAAGGGACGTGTGATATGCACCTTATACCCTTCCTAGCTTTTTCTCTCAGGACATCTTGATAGTCTATCATCATGGAATGATCGGGGATAAGAATAACATTATGCTGTGGTAAGAAGAGACATATTTTGATCACAGTAAGAGAAAAGTCATAAACTAATAGAAGTGAAGAATGTTATTTAATAGATCCCACTCAGTATGTTTTGCAACTGAGAAATTATAAAGAATGCCATTTATTTTCCTGTAAATCTTATCTCCCATAGATCCCTTACTATTTTGTATTTCCTAATAGTTAGAATAAATGCTTTTTATTAGGGTTGCTTACACCAATAATTTTTCGGTTTCATAATGTCAAATATATTACTGTGCATGTATCTCCACACACACATGTTCTCTCTGGCATGTTTCAGACAGTCCTGATCTACCACCTTGTCTGAAAAGTGCATGCTTAGTATATCTCATATGAAGTGGGTTTGACATATGCAACTGTCAGCAACTTATGTACTCCAGGTTGAATAGAAGAACAAGAGGAAATTCAGCTAAAAATATGCCAAAGTAAGATGGAAACTAGCCAGCTGTCAACCATGCTGAAAATAAATAAAAATTTTGAAAAACAATAACATGAAACTACTTGAGAGAGTTGGAGGAATGCCTTTTTTTTTTTTTTTTTTTTTCTAGAGATGATTTAAAAGTATGTTTCTTCCAATTTGAGAGTAAGAAAAAAATGAAAAGTATTAATTATAGACAATTAATGCCTTAATACATAGTGCATGGAAGATAAATTTCTAATCTTTCATGTGGTTCACTTCAGATAGACAGTCAATAAATACTCAGAATGGAAACTAGTATTTCTCACATAATATTAGTCTGGTTTACAGTACTTTGTGTTGACCAAATGCAAGTCATACCAGCTCTGTTAATGTAAGGCATAAAATGTATATTGTTGCATAGAGTAAGACTTTTTGAAAACAAATGGACTTGTTTGTTATGTTTGATCAGAAGATCATGAGTACATGGAAGTATCACACACATTTATCTCAGCTGGGATTCCTTCAAGAATAAACTCAGTTTTTAATATCATTGTCATGCATGGTGAAGAAATAGGACAATTAAAACTAATGGAGGTGATTATGACTTCAAAAGACGTATTGTTAAATTAAAAAATATTTTGAATACTCAAGCAGGTTGATACTTTTTCTGTCTTTCCCTCCCTCTCATTCTTACATTGTGTTCCCCCTCTCCTCTTTCTCCTTCCCTTCCTTAAACTAATGTCAACCTTGGATGCTGAGGTGTATACTCATGCAAAGTCAAATTCCAACCATTAAGATAAATACATACGTATTTCTTATAATATCTAACTGAACATAATGCATATTTACATATTTATTATCAGAAATATCTCGTGCATTATACTTCAAGATTTCAAGTATATACATTATTTTTATATATACATATAGTTAATTTTTAGTTGTAAATCATGAGAGTTGGTCATTCCATCTATAACTTATCAAATTTATTGTCTGTAGCTTATTTTTTTGTGTCATGAGTGACATGTTAAATAAAGCTGAAAGCAAAGATAACATACACAATGCTGTCTCACACCTCTTCCAAACGTCAGTGAATTTTGTTAATTTTAAAGCTGTGTTCTAGTTCCACTATGTGCCCAAAGTACACAGTATCAATTTCCCACACCATGGCTATATTACAACACACTAAATTTTGTTTACTTCACAAATGCTTTCACAATACTAAAACTTCCAAAAGGATTAAAGCAGACTTGATTCATTTCTTTACTGTGTGGAAACAATTGATGCCCATATACTTCCTGAACTTCTTTTTGTTTTTTTGTTTGTTTCTTTCATTCATTTTTTTTTTTTTTTTTCCTCCTCGTCCTATACAATTTTCTATCTCTGACTGTAAAACTTTTACTGCAGTGTTCTAAGCTGCTGCCATATTTGGGGGTTTTGCATTTTCCAAACAATTATTGTATCATAAGCTACTAGCATATTTTCCTGTTAGGAAAGCTTTTACTTCTCCTGTTTGTAGCTTCCTGAACTCAAGCAAATTATATTCTCTCTACTAGCCATCAAGGAACTTCCTTTTGATATAGTTCAGCAAAACTAACCATACTCATTCTACTTTATTTGGCATAAAGTCTATAACAACCATATTAGACAGAATTGATCTTTCGTGAAGATATTTCTGCCACTTCAATACACTATTCCAGGAGGTAGACCAGATGTTTTTATAAATTTGGGAAGATGACATCAATAGCTTTCAGACAAGGTGCCTCTATCTGAACAAATTTCATATTTTTATATTCAGAGATGTTCTTGCAAGTAGTTTCCCAAAGAGGCATGAGCAGTAATGTGTGCTTAGTTTTGAAATCATTATCCTGTAGTTTCTCAAGCACTTGACAAGTTACTTTTTGGATTATTGACTAAAGAAATGTCACGCAATTTCATATCTTCATAAACATCTTCCATAATCATGAAATAATATATACTTCTCAAGATGTGACTATGCCAAAAGGTCCTTTAAAGACTATGGAGTTAATGTTTCCTGTAGAAATGACTCTAATTATAATATATGGCTTAATTTTGTATTATGCACATCTTTGTAATATCTTTTTGCTTCAGCAAAGTGATATATTTCACGAAATATTCTGACAGGCACTATAGATATTTTTTTTCCTAAGATTTCCCTTACTATTGCAGGGGCAACCTCGTCTCCTTCAACTGAGACACCACATTTATACAGAGAATACAATTTATAAATTGTTAGTTCATACATCTGGATAACATTTTATAAGTACTGTCTAAAGAAAGGATTAATCTCTTATTCTTAGCTGTCCTGATAAATCTCCAAATGCTGTTTTAATTTACTCCTAAATCTTTTATGAAAATCTTGATTCAGATCTTATTTTATGAAAGCCTTACCTGTTTTACAGGTCATATTTTAATATTTTTTTTTTAGTTTACTACTGTTTGAAGTTTTTTTTTTCCCCTCCTGTGGAAATCTCTGATTCCTATGTATCCTCTACTTGTTTTATTTTGGTTGCAAGACAACTGTCAGCTAACGGATCCCCTTTTGCAGTTATGTTGTTTATCTTGACCCTGATCACATTTATTACTTGTTGTAGATTGTTAAGTGCTGAATAATGTCTTTGATACAAATTAAAGTTAATGAAGAAACGTACTACTACTGCCTGTTCTCTCAATAAAGCTGAATAAAGCCAAAAGAACAGTTTACTTACTGAGACATAATTGTCTCTTTACATCCAGTTATTTTTTTCTCTAAATCTTTACTGGTCACTCTAGAAGTTTGCTTTTGGTTTTACATTTGTTTTTCATTTGTTTTCTCAATAGAATAAAATGCATTAAAACTAAATGCCTAGCAACTAATTGTTCAAAGACAAAATGAACAGAATCATAATTTCTTCAGGAGGTATCAATTGCATATCTAATTACCAACATCACTAAAATTAAAACAATTTTAAGGTTTCAGTAAATATTCACAGTTTACATGAAATGTTTTGTATTACTGGATACGCCTTTATGCAATATATTCCAGTAATGTTTATAACTTAATCTTTCTTATCATGTTCTTAATATACAATATTAGAGTCAACTTTACCCACACAGTGGTTTAATATAATGCTAACACAAAATCAATAACAAGTGTAAGAACTATATGGGGAAAAAAAAAAAAAAAAAAAAAAAAAAAACACATCAAGCATATTCATATTAACAACAAAACAATACATTCTCCTTACAATTAAATTTAAATCAAAACCATTATCAGTCTTTTAAAAACATCTTCAGAACAATATTAAGTAGGATCACTGGACAGTATTCCTATGTATTCTGAAATCAAAAGCTGGATCTTCAGCTCATGTCTTTCAATAGTCACTGCAGACAGAGGGAACTCAGAACATCTGTGCTTGCTGAATCTCATTCTATGGATGCTAGAAACCAGTTCTTGTTGTTGGCTTCTAATTTTGCAGCCAAATTTTTGTACACTGTCAGAAAAACCTGACTTAGATAATATTTACTGAATTGGAATCATTTTGCAAAAGCATATTCCACAAAGTTAATTTAGTATTTCTTCTGTTTGTGGATTATACAAGGCATGCTATGGAATCTTTCCTCTTATTTTAAGAATCTTAGTGTTTAGCTTTCTCACCATAGATGCTTCGTGTCATCAGTTTTTGCTGCTGAAAATTTTGAAAAAACACTAGCACTTCATTATCTAAACCAAGTTAAACATTTAGAAAATATTGAAAAGTATCAGGGCTGTGGAATGTAATTTTGTTATTTTTGAGGATATGGAAGGAATCATATTAGAGAATCATCATATAAAAATGGTCAACTTCTTCAAATAACTGTTTTTTTTTTTTTTCTATTTAGGTAATGAAATACAATCCATAAATGCTGGTAAAACATGTTATGGTTTTCTTTAGATAGGAAAAAGAGAACGAAAGGAAAGCTAGTAATGTAGAAAAAGCAACAGTATATTGGAGCTTTTCTATTACAGCAACAAAGATTAATGAAGAGAGATCAATGAATTGATATATAACCTACCCATGGGAGTTCCCACGCCATAACCTTTTGAGTCTATCAGGCCTCCAATCTGTGTTAGGTTACAGTTCCGCTGTGTGACAAACTCAATGGTTGTCGACTCCATTAAAAACGCGTAGTCGGAGGTAAGCACACGCTGGATGCCTTCTTCATTGCTTTTGACAAGTACTGACTGCCTCCTGCTACTCATGAATGCCCACATCTTATCATAAGTGGAGATTTTGGATTTCTGAAAGACAAATATTAGATAGAACAGTAATAAAGATAAAACACGTTTAAGAGTGAGTGCAAATTCCAAACTTACACATTATCCTCTTACCTCTTATCATGTTTTATTGCACATGTCAGATTTTACAACAGCAAATGTAAGAGTGTCTATATATTTCATCTCATATGTGGAAAACAAAGCAGATGGACACATTTTCTAGAAAATGCATTATATTTTAGTTAATCTATTTTTCATTCTGTGCACGTTTTTATTCGTGTAGAGTGAAAACCTAAAAGTTTTTAAAGTCAGTGAAAAACTATTAAGGATTTTAATATAGTCAAGTTCATCAACAGTACTGGTGAGTTTCATAGGAGAATTTGCTGTATTCTGGTATGTTTGAAATTCACTCATCTTTCAGTCATTACCCTACTCTTGAGCACTTTTAAAAACCTTCTGCACAGTGGAGCAGCTTGCAGTAGTCAGAACACTTACAGATAGCAATGTATGGAGAAAAAAAGTCATGAGGAAGAAGGCAACAAATATACAACTTACCACACTATAGTCATATTTATTTGCCATTACAAAATTAACAGCTAAAAGTCCTAAAGTTTAATATGTATCTGTTGCTTTAGTATTCCCTGAATGCAATGCACTATTGTGTTATGGATGAGAAAGAGACAAAGGAGACGACAATTTGGTACAAACTGCTGCAGCATAGCTATAGAGGAGTTACTCCTTTTCTCGACACATCGGCTTAAAAAAAAAGCAACCCAACAAAATAAAACAAGACCAACAAACAAAAAACCACAAACGTATTACCTTCCCTCACTTTTTTACAGTACTGTGTAAGAGATAATGACAAAACGAAGGCATTAGAACACTTGATCATTGCATATTACATTTGTCGCCACATGCTTAATAATGTTTCAAACTCAAACATATCAGAAAATGTTCATTAAAGTTATATCTTGTATAAAAATAAAATGTAGATATACGGTATAAAAACTGGTATAATCAAGCTCTTTCAGGCCTCTTTCATCTTTTAATGTCATCCTAAACATAACTTTGCCATCAGCTCTGATGGAGATACTAAGCAAAGATTGACACTACAAACCTTTCTGAAGCTCCACTGACTGGCAGCCATAAAATCTGCCTAAAGAAGGATTAGTAGTGTATGTGGAATGAAAAGAACATTTATTTAGGAAAAAAAAAAAGAAAAAAAGACAACTTTGTCCCCGTGCTAGGACAGAATCCAAGACCTATTTCAGTCTGCCTGAGAACTTAGCAAAACAAGCATTTGAAGTAACTCTAGTGTCAATGCTAAGAAAACGGAAGACTTCTAGAACTCTGCATGAACATTCTGCATGAACACATTATTTCTGTACTGAATGTTATGCAAATGACCATACAAGGTTTTAGTAACAATGAAAGAGAAAATAATTTTTTTCTTCAGAAGATACTGTGAATCCATAGAATTAAGAAGAACAAACAGATATGGTCTCTATTCATAGGTTTGTTTTCTCAATCAAATAATTATTTGAAGCACTTAATACTACACTATATGCAGAATAAGATACTTTAAGCAATGCTCATCGGCTCTTCATTACTATGTAATATAGAAAGAATGGAAAATAAGTGTTTTCCAATGTTTGTAAAATTTTGCCTGTATTATCATTTAATTTTTTACCGTACAATCTTTATTCCACTACTGAAAGCAAACATTTAAGCCAATATAAATAATCTGAGTAATATAAGGAATTTGCAGAGAGAACAATTTGGGTAAACTATTAAATACATTGCTGGTGCATGCTGAGAAGGAAAAAAACCACATGAGAGCCATAGTAGAAAATAAAGTAAATAAGAATGAACACACATAAGTATTTCTGCACTTATGTTGCAAAAAAAAAAAAAAAAAAAAAACAAAAAAAACACATTACCAAGATAAAAGTATGTTAGCAAAGGGTACGGTTATCTCTACAAAAGCATGTGAAAAAAGAGCACTCTCACAGACAGGTCGTGTTCATTGTGATGACTAACTTTATCATTTAGGATGACGCTTCTGAAAAAGAAGGAAGAGAAGTCATAAGCAAAATAAAATCAAAGAAAGCTTCTACATAGTAGTATGCTTGCTGTAAAAATTAAAGAAGTATAAAAATTTTACGCAGTTAATGAAGCTGTGGAAGATAACATTAAGCTATGTGCTAAAACAAAAGCACATACGACTCTCACTAGAGAAGATATCAAGGGTGATAGAAAAGATAGTCATCTCTTTTTTTATCATGTAAGCAAAATACTACAATATCTGCACCACGTTTTCTGTTCACAGGAATTTGAGGAACTTCCTGCTAGTGAAACCCTTCAATCTTCTTCAGGAGGTGCTGGCTACAATGAAACACATTTGAAATATTTTTACATCAGTGCAGACAGCACAAACAAGAGGAGATGAAGTCTTGGCTCAGTTTCAGAGCTACAACATCACTGATGTAAGCAAAACCTGGTGGGAAGAGTCCCGTGACCATTGTGTACTGATGAATGATTATAGGCTCTTAAGCAGGGATAAGCAAGGCAAGTAATATAGGGAGTGGTTATCTGTAAAGATGTATAGAGCTCTCAATTCGTGATGACACTGTTGAGATCAGATCAAGGGACAATCAAATAAAGCATCTGTTGTTGTGGGAGTTTACTATAGGCCACCGAGCCAGGATGATGATGTCAATTAATTAAAGAACTAAAATCAGACTTCAGATTGCTTAGGAAATTAGTTAGCAAAGTCCCTTGGGAAACTGCTTTTAAATACATGGGGATCTAACCATGCATGTCACTTTCAAAGTACCACCTCTTAAGAGCACAGAAAAAGGCAATTCCAAAATGTCAGAAGTCAAGCAGTTGGAGCAGAAGGTTGGGTTGGCTGGGTAGGAATCTTCTTATAGAGCTTATGCAGAACAAACACAAATACGGCCACAGGAAATGAGGTCAGGCAACATACAAAGATACTGCTGTAGTGAAAAAATTCATGTGGCCAAAGCTCACTTAGAGTTGAAGCTGGCCATTACCGTGGGTGAAATAAAAAGGGCTTTTTAAAATATGTTAACAAGAGGATCAAAGATAACATTGGTCCATTTCTTGAGGAGGATGATCACATTGCAAATAGGAGCACAGAAAAAGCAGAGATGTTTAATGCTTTCTTTCCTACTTTCTTCAATGCTGATGAAAGGCTTGAAGACTCTCAGAGAACTGAGTTGGAGAACCATGTCTGCAGTAATGATAAACTCCCTGCCAGCCCTGAAATTGTGAAGGATTTGCTGCTCAAACTGGATGTTTATACGAGGCCTGATAGGATTAATCCAAGAGTACTCAAAAAGCTAGATTATGTAATCTTGACACCTCTCTCAATTACTTTTCAACAGTCTTTGGAATCTGGAGAGGGTCTAGTGAACTGGAATCTGTCAAATATTATCCAATTTTTCAAGAAGGACAAGAAAGAAGATCCTGAAAATTACAATACTGTCAGTATCACTCGTGCCAGATAAAATTATGGAGAAGATCATTAAGGGCATGTTGAAATACATCTGAATGCACACATTCTTCAGAGTCAACACAGGTTCACAAGAAGTCCTTGTTGAATCTCCTTTTATTAAAAGATTACCTATATAGGTAACCAGGGGAAGCCAGTTGATGTATTCTTTTTGGATTTCAGCAAAGCTTTTGGTGCTGATTCTCACAGTATCCTTCTGGACAAAATGTCCAGAATACAGCTATACAAAAAGATAACTTGGTGGTTGAACAGTTCATTGGCAGGTCAGGTTCAAAGGGATATAATAAATGAGGTTACATCAGGCTGGCCACTAGTCATTATTAGAGTCCCACAAAACTCCACTTTAATGTTTTCATCAGTGACTTGGATACAGGACTTGAATATATATTAAGTAATTTTGTGGATGACCTTAAATTGAGAGGATCTGATGACTCCCTTGAGAGTAGAGAGGCCTTGCAAGGAGAAAAGGACAAATTAGAAGGCTGGACAATCATCAACCACATGAAGTTTTAGAAGAGCAAATGCTGGATTCTGCATCTGGGATGGGGCAAGTTATACTTGTATGGACTAGGGGACAAGAGGGTTGATTCTTGTTGATAGCAAATTGAATCCAAGTCCACATGTGCCCTGGCAGGAAAAAGAGCCAACCATATCCTGGGGTGCATGAGACCCAGAACTGCCAATTAGGTGAGGGAAGGGATTATCCCAATGTACTCTGAGCTAGTGTGGCCTCACCTCAAGCACTGGGTACAGGTTTAGTCCCAACAATACAGGAAAGATGTAAAACTGCTAGAGAAATTCCTCAGAAGGGCTATGAAGATGGTGAAGGGTTTAGAGGAAAAGATGTATGAGGAGTGTCTGAGGTCACTCGGCTTGTTCAGCCCAGAGAAGAAGAGACTGAGAGGAGTCCTCATGGTGGCCTATAGCTTCTTCATGAGGGGACTGTATGGGATGGGACTGAACTCTTCTCTCTGGTGACAGTGACAGGACACAAGGAAACAGCATGTAGCTGCATCAGGAGAGGATTAGGTTGATTGTTAAGAAAAGGTTTTACACCAGTGAGTGGTCAAGTCCTGGAACAGGCTTCCCAGGGCAGTGGTCATGGCACCAAGCCTGACAGATTTCAAGAAGAATTTTGACAACATTCTCAGAAGCATGGTTTGAATTTTGAGTGGTCCTGTGTTGAGTCAGGAGATGAATTCAATGATCCTCATGAGTCCCTTCCTACTCAAGATATCTGTCATTCTATGATTCTTCCATCCCTAAAAGGCAGAACTGAAATTATGTCAAAGAAAACAGCCTACCTATTTGTGACTTAAATTCAAAGTGGTGTTTAGAAATCTTACAAAAACAAAGTATAATAAAAGAGATTTGTTTTATGCATAACATAGAATAGTTATTTGAGAAAACAAAACAAAGCATTTGATTCAGTAAAATACAATCACAAATGGTTTTCCTCTGTGTTTGGAAAGTTGTTCAGCAGATT